ACCTCCTCTCTAGCCTTCTCTGTAAATGTTAGATTTAAAAGGTTATGTACAAACATGTAAGTTATAAAGAAGTTGCCAAAAACCTTAAAATCTAAAGATTCTAGAGTTTGTCTGCTATTATGCAGAGAAGATTGTGGAAGCAAATATTAGTCATTCACATCATTTTCCATGTTGAGTCAACATCTATTTTTAGGTGCGGAGCACATAAAGACAACTCTTTGACACATAAAGCGCAAAGACATCCATTTGACATCATTTATGTTTGGGCTAAGGCTCAGGGAGAGGGGAAGACAATTGCTGAATACATTATATTTGTGATGGGACCCCTCCATTTGCTTCCAAGACACATTTTAAGACATAACGCAGGAATGTACTGATCTGTTTATATTTAAATAAGTCAAGATGAAGTGCAAAATATTCAGGTTTGGATCCAACGCTATTTTGGATGCGCTGCAGAGTAATTCTTCATGATCTGTGCTGAACACTTGCCATTAGGCTTTATCCAGGAAGTATTTTTATTATGTTAAATGTGTGTATTCTAAATGTATATATTATTTTAAAAATGCAGAAGGCTTTTTATGCACATATTGCAATTATAAATCTGATTCATAGCTAGGGGAGCAGTTAAGAGAGACTTGATTTAATAATATTCCGACAACATGCATGCAGTGCCTCAGCTAGATTTTCTTGTTATAGTGTAAGGGAGCTTCTCGTGATAAATTGCAGATACGACAATGAGTGTCGGTATACAGTTTCCTGAGCAGATGTTCATTTAGTCTAATTTCACTAGTACTTTACTGTTCATCCAGAACAGATCTTGCCAGCTCAGGATGAAAACACAAAGAGATGGCACAAAAGATCACTCTGCAAATAACCTGATCTGTTTCAGACACTTGGGGGGGCGGTGGGAAGAAAAACATACTGGAACTTCGGAGTGCTATGTATGTGCTAAGGTTATTACATGTTGGATACAGTAAATCTTCTATACACCCACAACCCATAGGGGTAAATTTACAGAGTCGTGCGTAGGAAGCTGCACATTAATCTACCTCTGAACAATAGTTACTTTATGCCTGTACTTAAAGAACCCTTGCATTTGTTTTAAGGTCTCTCCGGCTCTTCCTTTGTTCTTCCATCCTTTCCTGCTTTTGTTGGTTTTGTAGAACAGATAGCATCTGAACTTGTGGGTTATTGCTTCTGAAATAGAAAATAATCTATCTGTTTAAAATGCAAAGGGTGGCTTTAACTTACTAAAACACCTTTCCTTGTCTTCAATCTATAGGTGTCGTATGCCCGTCCAAGTTCGGCATCGATCAGAGATGCGAACCTGTATGTCAGCGGCCTTCCGAAAACAATGACCCAGAAAGAATTAGAGCAGTTATTCTCACAATATGGGCGCATCATCACCTCACGGATTCTGGTTGATCAAGTCACAGGTTAAAAGAGAACTTTTCTTGATATGTGCATGTTTTTCTGGACACGGCAAAATTGCAAACGTTTGGCAGTTGAGCTTTAGGACAATACGGCTTTTAGTGTTAAATGCGGTACCTGGTTCTTTATGAGCATGACTGTTTGGAGGCATAACTGCTGCCTCCTTAATGAGGGATCTCAAAATGCAGAATGTTGTTTACTTGAAATCGTTACACTAAATATGGTAGGGGCTGATTTTGGAGAGCACAGCTGGGGAAGGGCATTTTTCTTTATAGGACTCGCTTTAATTTGCAAGTTGTGTATTCTGTGAAGTCAAAACCAACATTCAGTTTGTTCATTTTATAGATGAGGCTGTGCCTACAAATATTCATCTGTTCAAATGTGTTTGCTTCCCAGGGGTTTCTCGAGGTGTGGGATTTATCCGTTTTGATAAGAGAATAGAGGCAGAAGAAGCCATAAAGGGACTAAATGGCCAGAAGCCTAGTGGTGCTACAGAACCAATTACTGTGAAGTTTGCCAATAACCCCAGCCAGAAAACAAGCCAGGCACTCCTTTCACAGCTGTATCAGTCTCCCAACAGACGCTACCCTGGACCACTTCACCACCAGGCTCAGAGATTCAGGTAATTACCTGGAAAAGAACTGAAGTTCCACCAGCGACGACAACGTGGGGCAGGTGCTGTGCAGGAAAATATGCTTTAGTTGCGTAGGCTGACCTGATTTTCTTTGTAAAATTAAATATTCTTTCCTGGAGAATGAGGAGGAAAATCTGCTGACAGCAGTAGTCATGTTGTATTTACTAAAACAGCTGAAGTACTGCACAATCAGATCTCATGAAGTCTCATGGAAAAAGGGAGGACAGAATAGAGTTACACTGATAATCAAATGAGCAGTGACTATCCTGTTCTTTCTCATTTTTTTGGTAATGCTTTTATTTTCTGCTATATTATTACAGTTTTGATGCAGCTTAGACTTTGATGTTAATGACAGTGGATTGGTAGCAAGAAAAAAGCTGAGTCTGTTCCAGTCAGCAGCAGTATCATTAAATTTATTAGCCTGAGATATCAGCTCTTAGTATAAAGAGACCTTGTGTTAGTCTTTGGTGTGATTCTTCAGATACTCAGAATGCAAAGCATAAAACATCCTGGAAAGTATAGTTTCCATCCGATATGTAAGCCAGGGTTAGCAATAAATGATGTTCTCGTTACTTTCATATTTTATAACAACTTTCAGGTAACCTAGTATTGAAATAAAAAGTCTGCCTTCAAAAAAAAAAAAGAGAACTTGGACTTATTCTCATAACTGAGTTGCATGCTGGCTTCAGAGACTTTTTCAAAAGTAATTTTAGTTTTTCAGTGCTGAAAAGTGCTAATGAATTCAAGAAGATCATAAGAAAAAGTCAGCAGATGCATTAAACCTACCCTTGTTTGTGTGTCTTTGGCACGCAGCTGTGTCCATTGAGGTTATCCCTGAATCATTCCATGGACAGGAGGACTTGAGTGTGCTCCCATGGAAAGCAGATGATTATATTCATTCTGCAAAACCTGGTGGTCATTTAGATTGACATATTGTGGAGGATTAATGCTAATAATGTAGTGGGGAAAATGTATTATGTTAAAGCAATTAGAATCAAGAGTTGTTCCAGTTCCAGCAGTTTTGGACTGTGGCACTTTATTTCCAAGTTAATTGTAAATATAAGGGGAACAGTTGAATTATTTGCAAAAATTTAATGCTAATATTGTCTAAAAGAAACAAATCAGAAGTGGATTATTTTTTTTGTAAACCAAACCTTGAAAATGAAGGTTTTCTTAAAGCCTGTAGACAAGTTAAAAATTACTTAAATGCCGTGGTGGAAATTTAAGCACAAACTCAGACTTAACAAAGGCTGGGAGTTGTTAGGCTCCTTAGATGTGTGGGAAACTTGTTGAACGTTTCTTCTTTGAAAATGGAACGCTATTAATAATAGTTCCATTGAGCGATCTTGCCATCTGTGAGACATTAACCCAAAGACCCTCCTTCTCTTTTCAGGCTGGACAATTTGCTTAATATGGCCTATGGCGTAAAGAGGTAATTAGAATTCCACAGATTGCCAGATGTCTGTGTTGGCACAGATTGGTGCTACAATTTATTTTTTTAATTCACTAACTTTTTTTTTAATTCGTTCTTTTCTTCCACCAGCATGTCAAATTCTTTTTAAGTTTGGACTTCAGTTGGTTTTGTTACTTTAAAGGCCACACACACAAGTTCTGTGGGGTTGGGGGCTTTTTGTTGTTTTTCAACCTTTTTTTTATTTACAGGTGGGCTTCTCAAATGGTTTAGGTGCAACAGCTATAAGCATTCAAACTGCAGTAGCCCTGCTAAATGGTATTTTTTCCAGAATCAGAACTATTACGTTTTTAATCTCCCATCTGATAATAAAAATTTAACAATCAAAGCCAGCAGTATGCTGCTGTTTCAATTTATTCTACATCTGGCTTCACAAGTTTGACTTGAAAATATAGTTGTGTGCACCTTAATCAGCCCTAAGTTTCTTTTGTTACAGGTTTGATACTTTGAAATTTTCTTGGTGCTTGAGATTTGTTTTTTGTTTAAAATAGCTGTGTGTGTCCGTGTGTATGTGCACGCATGTGTGGTGAAGCTCAGCGGGTTTGTAAACATTTATGCTGTTTCATGAGTATGTTGAATGTTTGATCTGATAGCTAAAATGAGCCGATGCGTTGTTAGTGTTTCTCCTAATGGCACACATCACCGCAAGCCAACCTTACAGCACAGTGAGTGTAGTCTTACTCCTGATGTTACCGTAAGATGTCCAGCCACCCCCCACAATTAAGATGAGAAAATACTGCTTAATCTTCTGAACTGGTCTGCTCACCACACTTGAAAATTACTTGAGCTTTTTTAAAGCTCGTCCTGTAAGATGGTGTGGTAAGTATATCTTTAGCTAGTAGTGGACAGTAATGCGGGTTTTAATTACTGCCATGGTTGCTGTCATACAGATCACCAGTCTTAAAACTACTTAGCAAAGCAATAGTGAAAACAAGAGACGGCGTGTCTTCCCAGAAGCGCTGCTTCTGGTGTTCATTAGTGTGTGTTACATCTGCAGCATCCTTAGTGGTGATGGTGATACGATGAGTCAGAACTTACCACCTGATTTTAACACACCCTGCTTCTCCTGTGTTTTCCTCTCTCATTTGTTTCTTGATACATTGCCAGAAACATGGCAAGACTCAGCTTCGAGTTTATCTGTCAGGTACCAGTCGGTGTCAGAAGGATGGGTTTGTTCTGGGAGTTTTCCCTGGGTTTGTTGCCGCTTTCCCTGGAATTGGACCAGCATGGGGTGCAGGACAAACAGGGCTTTGTCCAGACTAGTGGGGGTTTGAATTCTGGTTGCGTGTGACCTACAGAGGGAAATAAAGTTACCTGTCTTTTCAGGTTATATATCTGGTTTCTTAATATTCAGAGTCTGCAGTGTTAATTAAGTCACAACATTTTTTAAGTTGTTTTGTAGGCATCTTAAATTAGCTCTTGTCTCCTCCCAACAAATCTTGAAAACTTGTACTTGCACCAGCAAACTCTGTATTTACGGGCATAAGGTCACACAAAAAAATACTGTATTGATAAAAATTCCTGAAACTGTCCCTGAAACATCATAGGGTAGTGTTCCTGGGCTTGGGGTCAGTTTGTTCTTTCCCCATGTCAGTTATGTGGTACTGATGGAAAATGAGATGTGCTGATGTAGAAAAAAGGTTTTATTGACACTAATTTCAGATGACTTGCTAGTAGCAAAGCTACTTACGCAATAGGCTGCCTTGTGTTTGTATCAATATACTTGCACTAGTTTCTTGGATTTGGAGCAGCTCCTGTGCTTGTGGTGCATAAACAGTTGAAAGCTGCGTAGCTCCTAAGGGCTTCCAGGGAAAAGCTGCTCTCCAGCGAACGGTATGAAACGTTAACCCTTTACATCAGCACAGCATTTCTTAAAAATGCAAAGCTTTATAACAAGCTGTGTGACACGCACAGCTTTGCATTGTACAGGTTTCGCAGTAATATCACTTACAGGGTAGTGTGTACATCAGTGTTGTACTTCACGTTAAATTTAAATGTCGCGGAAAAGGAGCGTTTGCTGACTTGAATGCGTTACTAGCACAGTTGGCTCTTGTCAGAAATGGACTTCAAGTCCCATCTTCTGAATTTCAAAAGAATTTGAAGCTGTCAGCTTGTACATGCTCTCAGTCCTGGCCTTCCTATTTCCAGTTCCACATATGGTGGAAGGAGCGGTATAAATTGCCCAGCCGTCTTTGTGTTCAGCAGCTGGGGAAACACCGTGAGTTAGAGCCGTGCTGAACCATTATGATAATGTTACTGGTTTCAGTATGTGGGAGAAAAACTAAAAGATGTTGAGAGCAGGATTTTCAAAAGCGAAGTTTAGCGGGAAAATGGACATTTATTTTTAATAAACTGTCTGCAAACCTGTGTGTATGTCTGAGGATCCAATGCCGTATTTGAGCTACTCCTTTATGGTGTAGCTACACCCCAGTTATGTTCCTCAGATTAAGATACATATTCCAAGTGTCTTTTTTTCCTTGAATATATGTATAAAGTGCTACAGGAGTCAGCATAATGGTGAGCAGCCATCAGGTGTGTAGTTTGTTATATGGTTATTTAATATATGCTGCATAATATTGCACAGATTGCTAAATGTGTGTGGAAATATTACAAGTGTAAAAGGAGAAGTTTTGGAGAGCACAAGAGCTCCCTCAGCAACACTGAGTCCCATCCTCCCCCCTACTCCCTCAGTCATCACTCAAAAAATCCTGCAGTATTACTATTCAGTTCTGGTATTAAAACTCATCATATTGTAGGTACATGTGAAGCTGGATTTTTATTAAGATGCTTCCTCTGTGCAGTTGTTATTTTAAAACATATCCCAAAGTGTAGCTTCAGAAGGCATGTCATTTTTTTTTTCTTTCAAACTGATGAAAGGAAAATTATGTTGATCCTGAGGGCTGATACTGCTTAACATCTTCATTAATAAACTGAGTCATGGGCTGCGATGCGCCCTCCCTGCATTAACAGGTGACGTGAAATTGGTGAGGGAGCAGGGACAGTCACTGTGGTGTTGGCCAGAGCTGCCCCTGGGGAGACCTTGACAAGCTGGAGGAACATGGTGAAATTCAGGAAAGGCAAATGTAGAGTTCAGCCCCTGACTGCTCTCTTCCGCTGTCTACAAGGGGCATTAGAAAGAAGATGAAGCCAAGCTCTTCTCAGAGGTCAGCTGTGAAAGGGGAAGAGTCAACTGTAATGGGCTGCAGCAGGGAAACTGAACTGAATGTAAGGGAAAAATCATTCACAGTGAGGACAGTGGAGTCCAGCAGTGGAATTCCCATCCTTGGAGACTTTCAAAACTTTCCTCTGCCAAGGCCATGAGCAGCAGATCTAGTTTGAGGAGTTAGCCTTGCTTTGAGCAGGAGGTTCATCGGATGACCTTCATAGATCCTGCTCAACCGATGTTATTCTATGATGGGTCTGTGTTCATCAACACGCTACCTGGCTTTAGCTTCCCAATTCACATGTTTAAGTTAAAGAAAACAGATCCCAAAAGACACTGGGGATGTGGGGAAGTTGGGGTCCAGTATTAGATTTGTAGGAGCTTGTCTCTGTGACTATCCGAAGAACCTAAGAGCCTGTCATGGACACAGAGTCTCACAGTATGAAGGTATTAGTTGACATGCTCATTAATTATATTTGTGTACTGTTTTACTTACTTTACAGTTGCTGCATAAATCATCTTTAATATGTGTCCAGCTTTAGGACTTCTTTAACTGGATTTCTTCATAGTGTATGTCAGTTAAGGACTATGTTAGGAGGAGAATTAAAACCTACCACTTACTGAACATCTCTTTAAATCCAATAATATTTTTAGCTAAAGAGGCTACTGTTATAACTGAATCCTGGCAATGGCATTTCATATTAATCTTTAAAGTCTGGAAGTTTGGGGGTTTTTTCACAGCAAACTAGTAAAGAAGCAAAGTATTAGATTTCCATTGCTCTGAACCCGCATTCTTTTAGTGGTGGGAGTAAGTGGCAAATTCCTACAGGCCTTCTTAAATGAACTCCTCTTAGCAGCATGTGCAGCCCCTTTTTGACTTAGATTGTCCTTAAGCATTTCTTTTATTAGATCCTTGTATACATCCAAGTAGGGCTTATCCTTGAAGGGAGATACATTTATGCCCAGATTTGGTCTGTTTGGTTAGTGCAGCTCCCCTCTGCTTACGCAAGAGTTAGAGACCAAGGGTGGCGATGTAGCCAACTTCCAGGGATAGGGTCAAGAACCTTCATTACCATTGGCTTATTCATGTGAAAGTCTTGGTTCCATGTAGCTTGTGCCAAGAGATATATTTAGAATAGACCCCTGTTTTTACTTGGTAGGTTTTCTCCGATCACAATTGATGGTATGACGAGCCTTGTCGGAATGAACATCCCTGGTCACACTGGGACTGGATGGTGCATCTTCGTCTACAACTTGTCTCCCGACTCGGATGAGAGTGTGCTGTGGCAGCTGTTTGGGCCCTTTGGAGCAGTCAATAATGTCAAGGTGATCCGTGATTTCAACACCAACAAGTGCAAGGGATTTGGCTTTGTCACCATGACCAACTACGACGAAGCTGCCATGGCAATTGCCAGCCTTAATGGATACCGTTTAGGAGACAGAGTATTGCAAGTTTCCTTTAAAACCAATAAAACCCACAAATCCTGAATTTCATATCCTTACTTACTAAAATATATATATATAAATATATATACGAACAAAA